AAAAAAAAAAAAAGTCTGTTTTATCTTGAAATATACTTGACTTCCTTGCCTTTTGGAAGTTTTGTATGTACACTGTTTCCTCTTTTTGCTTTGTAGTTGACTTCATTATACTCTGATATCTCTAGTTCCCTATTTACAGCCTTTTAGGTTCGTTTTACTTTAAATACTTCTAAATCTGGATTGAGTTCTGAGTGGTGTTGTCATTTATGGTAATCTCTGTTACCTGCTGTTGCTGTTGCTGGTTCTTAGTCCAAAGAACACCTTGTAGCATTTTTTTGGAAAGTTGGTCTGGTCATTACAAATTCCTTTAATTTCTGTTAATCAGAAAATGTCCTAAATTTGCTGTCATATTTGAGGGACAGCCTTGCTGGGTATATGATTCTTGGTTAGCAATTTTTTTCTTTCAGGGTTTTCTAGATGTCATCCCATTGCCTTCTTGTCTGCATGGTTTCTGTTGAGAAATCAGAGCTTAGTCTTATTGGGATTCTTTCCTCGTCTTTGATTTTAGGAAGTTTGATTATGATTTATCTTGGTGATTTTCTTTTGGGATCTAACTTGTTTGAGGTTCATTCAGCTTTTTGTATGCTTATGTTCTTGTCTTTTATGATGTTAGGGAAGTTTTCTTCCAAGAACTCTTTGACAGTTTTCTCTGTGCTTGATTCTTCCTGTTCTGAAATTCTGAACACCCCTAAGTTGTTCCTCTTCATGGTGACCCACATAACTCTTGGGCTTTCTTCAGATTTTTTCATTATTTTTTTTCTGATTATTCTCCTAGAATACTAGTATTGAGCTATTTATCTTCAAGCTAATTTGGGCTTCCACTGCTTTGCATCTATTCCTTTGCCCTTTCAATGTATTGTCCATTCCTGAGATCTTGCTATTAATCTTCTGGATTTCTAATTGTAGGTTTCATAAAGCTTAAAAATTTGCATTTATTTTGTCTGCTTGTTTTTGTAGTGTTTTCCTGAATTCTTCTAAAGTTTTTTTTTTTTTTGTGTGTGTGTGTTCTTCTTGATCTCCTCAATCTTTCTATCTATCTTTTGAAGGTACATAAATATTCTTTTGAATTCTTTTTTCAGTTAGTTCCATTACCTTTTCTTCCTCAGAAACGTTTTCTGGCTCTGCCTCTTGGTCATTTGTTTGAGCCATTCCCTTTTGTTTGTTTGTATGAGCTAGACTTGTCTGTTGTCTCTGGGGTGTTGTGGAGTTGACATATTTGTAAAAACAAGCAGTGTATTTGTTGGACCCAGAGGGGTGAAATCTCTGGTGGGCTTCTGCAATTCAAGGAGCTCGTGAGGTGGTTGTGGAAGGGATGTGACAGCAGAGTGCTGGCTCTAGATGGAGTTTCTAACGATCTTAGTGTTATGTTCAAGACATTCAATCTGGAAGTCATTTGTGGGGGCCTTTGATTGAACTGGCCTCAGTGTCTGCAACAACCAAAGGGAAACTGAGGTCAGGGGACTGGTTAAATGCTGTTCTGGTGGCTCTTCAGGTTTTGTAGGTCTGGAGCAAAGCCCACTTGATTCCAGGTATCAAAGCGCCACACCAAAGCCCCCAACTCTCGTTGATGTGGTTTCCAATCTCTTGGCTCAGAACTCCAGCATGAAAGTGGGATCTGGCCACACCTCTGATCACCAGGAGAGCATGGGGAAAATCACACACTTTCTGTTGCCCCTTGAATCTGCTCTGTCAGGTCTCCCTCTGCTGCCCAAGCTGCTCACAAGAACTGTGTCTGGCCAGCCATTCATCAGTCTCCCTGTCTTGCCATCCTTGCCCGGTCTTTCCTCCCAGCAAGCACTCTACCCACCTAACCTTTCTTCTGAATTTTCAACTGTGTCTGTTTTATTCTGTCTCTAGTATCTTTGTTGTAGAGTGTCCATGTAGTGTGTCTGCCTAGTCTGCCATCTTGCTTGAAGTCCCACTTTGGTAAACTTTTTATTGTGAATTGAGTGAAGGTTTACAGAGCAGATAATTTTACATCCAACAAATTACACTTTATTTCATCTAAGTGACAATAGTTATCCCACTTCCTCCCTGTGGTTCCTATTTCTATTCCACCCTTCATCCCAACCCCTCTGAACTTTGTCCCCAGGTAAATGCTGCCCTTTGGATTTTAAATGGTGCCCACTCCATAGTTGTTGTTGTTATGTGCCATCGAGTCGGTTCCGACCCATAGCAACCCCTGTACAGGGTTTCCAAGACTATAAATCTTTACGGGAGCAGAAAGCCTCATCTTTCTTCCACGGGTCAACTGGTAGTTTCGAACTGCTGACCGTAAGGTTCGCAGCCCGATTCGTAACCACTACGCTACCAGAGCTCCTTTAGTTAGCAGACCTTATTAGGGGTGTTATAGTATGTTTAACCTATCCATTGCTTGGTTGAAAATTGGGCCACAAGGGTGAGTTCCATAGCTTCAGGTTCCTCCAGTCTTTTTCTGACAAGTAAGTCCAGTCTTAAATTTTTTTTTTTTGTAATTTTGAGTTTCACTTCACATTGTTCCACTCTTTCAGGAACCTTCTAATATGGTTCCTGTCAGAGCAGATGGTAGTGGTAGCTGGGCGCCATCTAGTTCTTCTGGTCTCAGAGTCATGGAGACTGATGTTCGTGTGTTCCATTAATCCATTGGACTAATTGATTGCAAGCATCTTTAGTTTTCACCACTCTACTTTCTTCTACATATGACTTGACAAATAGTTTCCTGTTCATGAGTTTTTAAGATCCCAGTCACTACTCACCAAAATAGGATGTAGAACCATTGTCTTTGTGGACTATGTTATGCAATTGATCATGATGTCCCCTGAGACTATGGTCCTGAGCCCCAGACCCAGAAATCCATTGTCTCAAGATGTTTGGTAATGTTCAAGAAGTTTTCAGTATTTTGTCCCCTGTGTCCTGATGTGGGATAAGCATTCGATCATAAACTTGGTTTGAACTGCAAAGTCGGCAGTTCAAATTCACCAGCCTCTCCTTGGAAACACTATACAGGGTCTCTATGAGTCGGAAATGACTTGAAGGTACTTAAAAACAACAACAACATGCTTCACCATATTCATAGGTGTGTTTGCAGCAAAGATAAATACCCATGTACAAACATCCTTTGTGAAACCCTTATATATGTGAGCATACTCCCACTCTCTCTCCCATACCCATTCAGCCTGTGTCTTTGTCCATGACTCTACCTGTAGAATACTGTTGTTGCAAGGTTGTGTATACAGTAATATTTCCCTTTATCCCCTTTAACCCTAGCATTCCTCCCTGTGTCTTCACAGTCTTCATCATTCTTCTGCCAAACTCCCTCTTCTTGTACATTGCCCTCCCTGTCACTTGAGTTCACATGTGTCTAGCGTCTAGTCAGTGAATTACTCTCCCTTCCCTCCCATCCACAGTAACCAACATATTTTAACGTGAAAACCTTTTCTTGAGTTTTTACATTAGTGTTCTCATACAACATTTGTCCTTTTGTGACTGACTAATTTCACTAAGCATAATGTCCTCCAAGTTCATCCATGTTATGAAGTGCTTCACAGATTCAATGTTATTCTTCAACCTTGCATAGCATTCCATTGTGGGTATGTACCAAAGTACACATTCTTCCACTGATGTGTATTTAGGTTGTCTCCATCTTTTGCTATTGTGAGTAGTGCTGTGATGAATATGGGTGTGCATACATCTGCTTGTCTCATGGCTTTAATTTCTCTAGGATATATACCAAGTAGAGGAGTTACTGGGTCATAGGTATTGCTATTTCCAGCTTTTTGAAGAAGGACACTGGCTGATTTTTTGGACTGTCGACCCTGTGGTTTGCAGTCCAGTGTTTGTCCTATAGAAGGTGCCTCTGGAAGGACTTGTTAACCGTTTGCATCGCCCTGGGACTCAGGGGAAAAGTAAATCATCTAAATCCTTCTCCCTCTCTTCATCACCCCCAATTTAGTAATCCAATTTTGAATGTATGATCAAACAAACAACGGTTAGTTTCTTGGCTATTAAGTACTAGACTACCCTGGTGTGATGCTGAAGGTTAATGCGCTGGAATGCAAGGTCGGAATGAATCGCAAGGTCGGTGGTTCAAGCTCACCAGCCGCTCCTCGGAAACCTAGTCAGGGTCTCTATGTGTCGGAACCAACTCCATGGCACTTAACATTAGCTGAAAAGTCGTTTCAGAAGACATGCCTATGGATCAGCCTTCAAAAGCTTGAAATTTGGAACCCACTCTGCCAGAACAACAAAAACCAAATGGTTAATGACTCCGTGATTTCAAACAAGTAATTTTATGTACCTTTTCGTATTCCAACAATCAATTCTCTCCCTAAACGTAGCGTTTTATCCATTTTTTCCTATCGAACATGTGTTAGGGAGGGGTGGCTTGATCGCTCATCTCCGCCGGCGGGGCCCCCGCCCAGACTTCTTCTCTGCTCTGCGCCTTCGGGCGGGGGCAGGAGGAGCAGCTGGAGTTGGAGCGGGGGTTGTAGGGCCAGGCGCTGGGCGGGTCCCACTCCCTTGTGCAGGCTTGTACACCAGATGGAAGATGAAGGCGTTGCAATACCTAAAGGTGGTGCATGGGTGTGGTCATGGGGCGGGGCCAGGCAGGGCAGGGATCACAAAGGCGGGGCTTGCAGGGGCCATGTGTTCAAGGATGGACCAGGGATTGGGCTAGCTAGAGGGTTGTTGTTAAGTGACGTCAGTCAGTTTCGACTCATTGCGACTTTGTATAGGGTTTTCGAGGAGCAAGCTGGTAGGTTTGAACCGCCGACCTTGTGGTTAGTAGTCCAGTAGTGCTTATCCTACAGCACCTTACCAAGGAGTCCATCTAGAGGGTGGTGTTGTTAAGTGCCGTCGAGTCGGTTCCGACTCATAGCGACCCTGTATAGGGTTTTCGAGGAGCGGCTGGTGAGCTTGAACCACCAACCCTGTGGTTCAAACCGACCTTGCAGTCCAGCGTATTAATGTGCAGCGCCACACCAGGATCCTTTTTGGGAGTGAGATGAAGATTCTGTGGCTGGATCTCAAGAGGAGTATTGGGGAAGGTTCGAGGCCAGCGGGTAGTGGGGGCTGAGAAGTTGGCTGGTAAGGATAGGGCAAGGAGGGTCCCAAGACCAGAGGATACAAATGGATCTTTTAGGATGTGGAGAAAGAGAAGGTATGGTTCAGGAGGGAAGTAGGAGTGGTCGCGGACCCTCACCAGGGCAGGCGGTTGTCGGCGGCTCTGAGACGAAAAGGGGAGCGGAAAGGGTTGGTCTGTGGGGAGCTAGTGCCCCCTCCTGTGGCCACTGCCATGGTCTGGTCGTCCATCACACACCCGTACTCGCTACTCTCGGTGAAGAAGGCAGGCACGCGGAGGGACTGGGGATGGGGCAGAGCCTCAGAGATGCTCTCTGAGGCTCCTCCCCCAGGTACCTCCAGGAAAACCAGGGTGGCCGTTAGGAATAGAAATTGAGGCCTCAGTATACACAAGGTAGGGGAAGGGCGCAAGACAGACATAGAGGGAACCATCCAGATCTGTGGAGCAGATGATGGGCAAGAGGAGAGACCAGGAACTCAGAAAAAGGAGAGGTTGGGCCGTAGGTGACAAAGGGTCCTCTTTGCTCCCACCCCCACACCTGTAACCGGGGCAATGAGCTGAGCCAAGTGTCCTTGAGACCAAAGCCGGAGTTAAATCCTGTAGTAGGAAAGCAGGGAGAAGCTGGCTCACATGGTCAATTTTCCCACCTGGCCCACCTGCTCCTGGGCCCCACCCAGTCTCACCTATCACCAGGTCAGGCTTGGGTCCCTGAAGCAGGTGGTAAGGCCGAGCCGATACCTTGATCTGCAGGTCCCTGCGGCCCCCTTTCTCCTTACACCCAGAGCTGAGCCGTGCTGATACTCCGGAACCAGGACGGACAGACACCTCAGGACCATCCTGGGGGGGCGGGTGTGTGAGGAAGCCACTGGCAGCCAGGCACTGCAAGGGTACACCAGGCAAGATGGGAGTGGGGAGAGGAAAAGGGTCTGTTTAGGAGGACAGTAGGGTGATCAGCCCTCACCCTCTGCAGGGTAAAATGCTGCTGGTCACTCTCAGGGGGTAGGTCATCACCCACAAATTGTAGTTCCAGCGCCACATGGGGAAGCAGGATCAAAAGCTCCTGAAGGACAGAGAGGAGGACAGATCTGGGTTCCTCCCTGCATCCACCTCCACACACCCAAGTTCCCAATTTCTAGGACTGGTGGGACATACCCAAAACACCATGACAAGATCAAACTCCTTCCCAGCCTCTACCACATGGATCTTCAGAGACTGTTTGTTCTGGATGTTGAGCTCAGGGACTGGATAAGAAACCAACTTATTTAAGTATGATCTCCCTCCTTCTGTCTCCTGCTCACCACCAGCTCCCTGTGCCCCTGGTCCCATACACTTCTCCCCCAGCCATGCCTAGCCTTACAGGATTGGGGCACCAGGTGGGTGATGACGTAGTATATAGTCAGTGGATAGGTGAGAAGCACAGCCATCGGGGAATCCAAGCTGAGGCCCCGCCACTTGTAGTAATCCTGCCATGTACCTGGGAAGAGTGGGGGACAGTGGAGCAGATCCTAAGCCCAGATCCCAACATCACCAGACAAATAGCCCTTTATCTTAGGGACCCAGGCGTTTGGCCCTCCAGCCTCTGTCCCCATCCCTAGCTCCCTCTGGGCTCCTCCAACTTACCAAAGAGACTCCTGGGTGGATCTGGAAGTACAGGAGGCATCAAGGAAGGCCCATCCCCCTGGAGAAGCTGATAGGGATCTCCTGAGAGATTGAAAGGGCCAGGGTGTGGTGTCAATGAGACCCCCCCCCCCCCCATCACCACCTCCATTGGGCCCATCCCTCTCTACCTTTCAAAGGAGCTGTGTCCCCTGACACAGGGCCTGGAACTTCAAGAGGAATAAAGATTTGCCTGGGGAGGGGGCTTCTGGATGGGGTGGACAGGATTAGGGCAAGCCCTGTAATGGGTCAGGGAGGGGGTGTGCATGTGGAGGGGTTATCTGGGACCTGGACCACTTCCCTTTAGGTTGAAGGGGCCCTCCCTGAAGAGAAGCCCACTCACCACTGAGAAGAAGGCTGAGGGAGGGTGTGTTGCCCCTGGGGCATCTGGGCATGCCAGGGCCCTGAATCAGCATGCTGAGCTGGGTCCAGTAGCCACGAGTGAGGCCACGAGAGGCCAGGAAGGCCTCCTTGTTAAAAGTTTCACTGGTCACCTCTGGAGAAAGGGGAGGGAGGGGTTGAGGGCCTGGTGGCTTACACCCCGGACTTTAGCTCTCATGGGCCTCCCTCAAGGACCCTGGGTCGGAGTCTACTCAGGGAGGAAACCAACATTCTTGAGTGTCTACAATGTCCCATGCACTGAGCTCATATAATCCTTATAACAATTCCATGAGTTTGTATCCAATTACCATTGGTTTGTATCCCTGTTTTGCAGATGAGGAGACTAAGGCTCAGAGAAGGGAATTGATCTGTGTAAGGTCATAATGCCACTTAGTGGTAGAGCTGGGAAGGGAGCAAATATTTGAATTCTGTATCCCTGAATCCCCTAAGCTCTCTCAGAAACCCTGACACTTAGTCCTTAGCTCCGGAGACCTTGTCTCCAGCCCCAGGGATCTAGCCCCAGTCCAAAACACAAGTCCTTGTTCTAGGGATCTAAACTCCAGCCTCCAGCCTTTAGGCTTCAACACCAAGACCCTGTTCCCTTTCCTAGGTACCGAGGCCCTAGTCCCAAAGACTTGGTTCCAATCTCCCCTCCTCCGGATCTTGACCACTGGATGGTACCTGCGGTATAGGTGAAAGGCAAAGTTGCCAGCTCTCCTGACCGCTCCATAAAGGTTGCAAGTCTTGGGCACCAGAATTGGTGGCTCACATCATCTGGGCATCGCCGCCAGTCGGCCAGGAGACAAGCCTCTCCACAGTACAAGACGGCGCTACACTGGGGGCTAGGGGACACGGGGTGGTGGGCATCTAGTTGCGACCCTAGTGTAAGTCCTCTGATCTGCCCTGTCAGGTGGTCTGTCTCTAACAGTGTTTTTGTTGTTTTTTTCTATATATACGTGTGTACCTGTTGTTCTATCCCCCTGGCCCCTCACTCTTGTCTGTCTGGTGGATCCCCTACCAGCCTGCTTCCTCTGTGATGGTCTGATAGTTGGGGTCTTTTTCCCTCTCACCCACATTTGCTAGCTGCTCACCAAGGTGTCAGTTTTACTTCAAAGCTGTGTTTGTGACAAACATGGCAGGTTCGAGCCCGAAGGGAGGCAAAGGTGAAGCCTGGCCGTGGACCCCATGTCCGCATTGGGGCTTTGGCTAACTTTACTCCCAGCCTTGGGACCAGGCTCTCCAGCTCTCTGGATGGGGGTGGAAATGCACAAGGCTGGGGGTTCAGGAGTCTAGGCCTCTTAGGCCTCCCATCCTCAGATGCCAGATTTCTGTACCGGTGTAGCTGGGTGTCTCCCACAGTAAGCTGTCGGGGCTTTCGGGGATCCCCGGATCCCATAGGGCAGGCCATGCTGTGGCAGAGGAGTGCATAGGCCCGAGGAACCAGGTTTTCCATTCTTGAACCCCGGCCTGTACTCCCCTGGGCTCCATTCATTAGTAGATCAATGCCCAAGATGGTGCCATGTTCATCGGTCACCAATAAGAGGCAGGAAAGGTGCAGGGGGGCAGCCTCTGGGGAAAGAGGGAAAAGTCAGGGGGCAAAGATTGCCAGAGTTCTAAATTTAAATGCCTACAGGGCTAAGCAAGTACCCTATGTGAGGAAAGAGGAATAGGTGGAGAGGGCATGCCCCATGGAAAGGGGGTAGCTGCTACATAGTACCAGCATTTACTGCCATGTAGAAATGTAGGCCTGCTGTTAGAACTTTAGAGTTTTCTGGAGAAAGTGTAAATATAGATTTCTGATTTTTTTTCTTTTAATGCTTAAATGTTGGCTCAAATAAAAAAAAAACACATAGGTCAATGAAAACACCTCCTGAAGGCCTTCAGTTTGTGACCTCTGGCTGGGTTCTGGGGGGTGGAAGAAGGTTCTAGAAGGGCAGCATGGCTGGATAGGAGATAGGGCATGGTGATCCTTGGATTCTTACCATTTCTCCATCCCTTCTTCTTCTCAGGCCCTGTCTCCTTCTCAGCCCTGTCCTCTCTGTAGCCATCCTCACCGCCTCCTACCTCCTGCTCAGCCTTCTCTGGTTCTCCTGGAGGATTTGCTTCTTTGGGGGAGTCCCTGCTGGTCTTGACTGGCTCCCCATCCTCTTCGGGTTCCACCTTCTCTGGGCCTGCACCCTCACCCTCGTTTTTCTCATCTTCCTCCTCCTCTTCCCCTTCCTCCCCATCCTCCAGGTTAACAAAGCTGACATAGGGGCTCAGGTCTCGAAGATGGAGCGGGAGCTCCTCTCCTAGGAGTCGGGCAGCCCCCAGGCCTGACCCAGGGCCTGACTCTGCCCCCTGCCCCAGGCTGATGCCCACATTATGGTTCGGCAAGACGTGGAGCACCCAAAGGGCAGGGTCTGGGGGCAGCCTTCTGATCTGAGCTTCCAGCTGCCGCCAGCGGCCCTCAAGGCTGGCACCTACAGCTCCACGTTCTGCCACAAACTTGCGGAACCAGCCAAAGAGGAGAGCAGCGAAATCAAGGAACTCATCTCGGTATCCAGACACAAACTCCATGTCTTCGGGGAGGCACGGGGCCTGGACAACGACTGAGAAGAGGAAGGGGGATATGGTGAGGGAGGGGGTGATGGTGAGAGAGTTTGGGGTTGAGTAACAGGATCCCTGTGATTTGGAACCGACTCCACGGCAAAAGGGGAAATAATTGGGTTTGAATGTGTGAATGAGTGTTAGTAACTGAGAACAGGATTTTCTGGGTTGAGAATGGTGGCTAGTTCAGGGACTAGAATAGGGGTTAGGCTTCAAAGTGGGAGATTAAGGTTGAGGATGAAAACTCAGGGCTTAAAATTTGAGGGCTCAAAATCTGAGAACTCAAATCTTTGAAAGTAGAATTTGAATTAAGGATGGGGAAGGTTTTATCTGGGAAGGAAGAATCTGAATCCGTCACTTATTTTTTTAAACTTATTTTTTTAAGTCAGAAAAGACTCACAGCAGGGTTTTTGCGTAGGGGTGGTGAGAAGTGGGAGGAAATGGGGCGGGCCATCCCTTCGGTTTAGTTCGGGTTGGGGGTGGACCCAGGGAGTGCCAGCCCCTCTCAGCCCCTCTCAGCCGCCCACTACTCCGGTACCTGCAGCCGCCACTACTTTTCAAAGGTAAATACCACGCGGCCCGCTCCTCGGTGGCCACGCTCATGCAGCGTCCGCGGGTCTCTGCTCGGACCCGTGACTGCGCGGTGGGTTCGGACGTGAGACCCGCCTCCTGCCCCCTTCACCCGCCATGTGACTGCATCCCGCGGTGGCTGCAGCCGTCAGCTGTCCGCCTGGCGGGGAAGTGAAAGAGTCTTGCGGGTGGAGGAGGACCCCTGGAAAGAGTTGGTCCAGCAAGTCACTGCCAGAGTGCCCCGCCTCGCCCTGCCGCTTGAGTTCCCTTTCAGTTTCAGCAGACATTCCTTCGCGAAGGTCCCTCCGCCAAGGCTCGGCGCCGAGGGGGCAGGACGCTTTGCCCCTGGGGGTTTCCCCACCAAAGAGGCGGGGAGCCTGACTTAGGCAATACTGACCCCACGTCCGTTCAGACTGTGGGGAGCCGGGAGCGAGAGGCTTCCATCTCGCGCCTCTTGAACCTCAGCTTGGACTTGGTTGGCTCCCAAGGCCGAGCAGAGGCAGGAGGAAAAAGCCTTCGAGAAACCAGTCAGACATCGCGCGCCGGGAACCGGTCTGGGAACCCTACGGTGCGGCCCCCAAACTCTACCATACGCCGAGATGGGGCGGGACTGGGGACCGCTGTTCCGCGCATTCCTACTACTCCTGCTAGCGCGACTGCCTTTGCCAGGTTCGTCACGGACTGGGCTGGGGGGAGAGTTCAGGGAAAAGGTGTGTGTGTGTGTGTGTGTGTGTGTGTGTGTAGCACTAGGGCAACGGGGTTGAGTTGAATAAGTTGGGAGTCAGGTGAGCTACAGTACTGAAGGTAGCAAGGGGAGGGCCAGTTGTGTGGGGTTGAGGACAGAGGCATTAGGGTCCCAGGTAACATGAGGAACAGAAACACCTTGGGAATGTGGCCGGAAGTCTAGGAGAGAGATTGCTGTGGGGCGGTCGGTTAGAGGGCCAAATAACAGCTGGAGTTTCTCCTCGGTCTGGGAACCGATGCTGACCAAGTCTATTCCACTCAGCCAATGGCAACTCTGGAAGCAGCACTGGAAGTTGTCGCTGTGATCATGTAGTTTCCACCCCCTTATCTGCGAGACAGAAACAACATATCCAAAACCACCTGAAAGACTACCAGCATTGTCCACACATTGTCAGGTAATCTTCTCACCCACCCCTTGGAAGGCAGTGTCTGTGCAGTTCCTCTCTACCGAGTGCCTCTAGGACCCTCTCTGGTCCAAGCTGAACTCCTTTTGGGCAGACTGCACTGGACAGCAAAGTCGGTTTGAACCCCAAGGTCGCTGGTTCAAATTCACCAGTCGCACCTCGGAAACCCTATACAGGGTAGTTATGTGTCGAAAACTGACTGGATGGCACTTTATAACAACACTCTCCTTTCTGGGTTATCTTCACCCAGTTCTTCACACATTCACTTCCCTGCCCCACCTACCTGGGGACTTCCAGTGCCAGAAGAAATAATAGCTCTTTTATGGTGGTGACTTCATGCTTTCATGAGGAAGAAACAAGAGTGGGATGCGTCATCCCCAAACCATGTCCTTCTTCTGTAGGTTCCAGCTACCATTAGGGACTGTGTGTGGAGAAAGTAACCAGCCTTGGGTCCTGGAGCTGATAAATTGCTTTAATCACAAAGGTGAGCAGCAGCTTTCTCTGGCTTCCCCAGGTACTGCCTCCTTCTGCCTGCGGGCTCAGCCAACTTCACCTTGCAAGTTTCTTTGAATCACCTCTTTGCCTTGTGACACCACACATTCCCAGAACGTTCTACCACTGGCCAGTGTACTTTCACTTTAGTATGGGTTACTAACCGGTTTTCTCACCACCACCTACAAGATTTTTTTTTTCCCAGTTCTTCCCACCACTAGTGCTCTATTACTTACTTAGTATTTTTCTTTCAATCCAGCCAATATTTTTGTATCCCAAACATTTTATTGTGAAAATTCCAAAACACACAAAATGGAAAGATTTGCATAGTGAACATCCATCCATTCACCACCTAGATTGTATAACTAGCATTTTACTAAACTTGCTTCATTGCACCTCTCTGTTTCCATTCCTCTGTCCATCATCAATTCATCTTATTTTTTGATGCTTTTTGAAATTAATTGCAGGCATCACTGTACTTCATCCAGATACACTTCAGCATGTATAGTAATAAGAATTCAATATTTTATGGGTTTTTTTTGTTTGTTTGTTTTTTTTGGTGTGTATGTGTGAAAGCATTTTTATTTTTATTTCTTGGAGAGGAGTAGGAGTAAGGAGTTAGGGTTAAGGTTAGGACGATGGTTAATCGGACTAGGATTAGGAATAAGGCTTGGTCTAATTTTAGGGTTACAGTTTGGTTTATTTTTATTTTATTTTCTTCTTAAAATCTACTTGACTCCCTCTTTATTTGAAAATTCTGTAACTACATTATTCACTCTTCTTACTTTTTTGTTGTTTTTTTTGAACTGACACCTCTGGTTCCCTATTTTCAGTCTTGTAGGTCTGTTTTACTTTAGATACTTCTATATCTGGTTTAAGGAGCTCTGGTAGCATAGCTGGTTAAGAGTCGGGCTGCTAATCTCACAGTCAGCAGTTCAAAACTACCAGCTGTTCTGCGGGAGAAAGATGAGGGTTTCTGCTCCCATAAAGATTTACAGTCTCAGAAACCCTGTACAGGGTCGCTATGTGGCCGAACCGATTCCACGGCACATGACAACATATCTGGTTTGGAGTCCTGGTGTGGCACTGTGGGCTAATGCGTAAGACTGCAAAGTCATTTGAACTACAAGATCGGTGGGTTCAAGTTCACCAGCTGTTCCTTGGAAAGCCTATGGGTCACTATGGGTCGGCATCGACTTGACGGCACTTAACAACAACATGTCTGGTTTGAGTTCTGGGTGATATTGTCATGTATGGTAATCTCAGGTTGTTGTCTGCTATTGTTGGTTCTCTGTCCAAAGAATTCTCTTTAGTATTTTTTTGTAAAATTGGTCTGGTTTTTACTAATTCTTTTTTCCCCCCAAGTTTTTATTGTGAATTGAGTGATAGTTTACATGGGAGGACATCAGCTTTACATTCATCCTATCGTATTTCGTTTCAATGCATGATTACAATCCCCTCCATGCATCATGATTCAACAGCATTTGCTTCCATTCCCTGTTCTTGTTTTTTTTTTTGGATATACACTGAAGCACTCAGGAATACATAACCATTCGTACAACCAAAGCGTATAACCTGCATGCAAGCCCTACGGCTGCCACACATCCCCTTTCTCTCTCAGAGTTCAGAGTCCCCAGCCACTCCGTCTCTCCACATCATCTCTGGCATTGCTGCTTCTCTGGATAGGGTCCCACACTCCGCTCTTCTCCCTTGATGGTCCCAGGGTCCTCCGCTCTTGGACTGCAAGATCAACCACTCCCCTTCTTTTGTTATAAAACGTCTACCTTTACATTTGGAACATTTACAATCAGTTCTGATAGCGATTATTCACTATTGAACCACAAGAGTCTTATCCCCATCTCCTTTCACCAGTCCTATCTAGACAAGTTGGAAACCACTCAGTGGAAATTCTGTCTTCCCCTACACCCTGTGAAACTAAGCTCCCTCTTGAAAACTTATAAGCCAGTCACTTCATGCTCTTGTAAGGCCCCCTGCCCTCATTTTGGGTAGCAATGTCTAAGTTGCCTATCCCTGTAAGCCCTGTGTACAGAGGGGGTGGGAATGATCCTTGCTTTTACTTATTCTTTTCATTTCTGTTTATCTGGAAATGTCCTAATTTTTCTATCATTTAATTGATGGACAATTTCATTGAGTATGGCCTTGTTCCATAGCAAAGAGCCCAGGGCCCACCACAAGGAAAAGCAACAAAAGTCAGAAATATTCCTTCTGGTATGCGGGATGGCTCATCCCAAGCCTGATTCTTGGTTGGCAATTTTTCCCTTTTAGAGTTTTATATATGCCATTCTATTTTCTTACTCTTTTGTAGGTAACTTTTAGTTTTTCCCAAGCTGCTCTCAATATTTTTTCTTTGTCTTTGGTTTAATTGTGTCTTGGGATTGTCTTTTGGGGTCTATCTTGTTTGGAGTTTGTTCAACTCTTGAATGTATATTTTCTTGTCTTTCATGGTTAGGAAAGTTTTCTTCCAACAGATCTTTGACAATTTTCTCTGTGGTTTTATTTATCTCTCCCAATCACATCTAAGTTATTTTTTTGATCGTGTCTCTCATAAATCTTAGACTTTCTTCAGATTGTTTTGCTCTTTTATCTAATTGGTCTTCTAGCAGATGTTGTTGTTGTTAAGTGTTGAATTGATTCCACCTAATAGTCACCATGTACAGGGTTTAAATATTTTCAGGAGCAGAAAGCCTCATCTTTCTCCCTTGGAGTGGCTAGTGGGCTTGAACCACTGGCTTTCTGGTTAGCAGTTTAGTGCTTATTGTGTGAAGCAGATGAATATTGAGAAATTTATTTTCAAACTCACTAATTTAGCCTTCCCATTGACTCAGTTCTACTCCTTTGCCTTTTCAATACATCTTCTCTTTCTGAAGTCTTAGTATTAATCTGGCTTTCTATTTACTGTTTTTGTCTGGTTTCTAATTTTTAATTTATTTTGTCAATTTTTTCTTGTAGTGCTTTCCTGAATTCTTCTGAAGTTCTAAAGTTTTGTCTGTGTTTTCCTTGATTTCAATTGCCCTTTTATCGATCATTCTGTCAATTCACTGGCATTACGTAAGTATCCTATCAAGTAGTTCTGATACCATTTCTGGGAGTATATTTTCTGACTTTGTGTTTTGGTCACTTGTTTGAGGCAATTTATCTTGTTTCTTCTTGTAAGCTGAAATTGTCTGTTGTGTTACACACTGTGGTGTTGTGTTTATATTTAATTATATTGTGCGTCGGTGTGTTCTCAGGCACTTACCACCTGTCTCCTGGTGGATGTAATAGAGACTGGAAGGGAGTATGCAGTTCTCTGTTAGCTGTTTGTCTAGTGTATTTCAAGGTGAGTTTGTCCGATGATTATTGTTATTAGAAGGTACAGGAGTAGGTAGTGGTGCTTGCCCAGTGGGTGAACCCACAGGAGGTGCAGATGTGGTTGGGCTGTAAGTGCAAAATTGCTATCTCCCCAAAACACACAACAGCAATTAAAGATCTAATGAAGCAAAATTTATGAGCCTCGGTTGCCAGAGCAGAGGCTATGGAGGAGGGGAAACCACTTGCCACCAGGCAGGTGAGGGCAGGACTGGTCATGCCCTGACTACCAGAAGTACTTGGGGAACAAGGGAGAACCACACTCCCCTCACCAGTTTGGGGTCCTGTGCCTCCAGGCCACTGTATTCTCAGCTGCCTGCAAAAGTTCAAGATGGCCACGCTGCACAAGGCCAACCAGCAGCCTGCTGTCTGTCTCCTCTGTCGCTGCTTCTCCTTAGCTTCCTTTCTCAGTAGGCACTCAATCCACCTCTCTGCCCTGTCCTCTGAAACTCAGGGCTCTAGGGTCACCATCTGTGTTTGTTTCCCTTGGTCTCCTATGTCCTTGCCCCAGAAGTTCCCTTTTTTCTTTTGAGGTAAAATTTACACGCAATGAAATGAATAAATTTTAAATATACACAAGTCACATTGGAAGAGCTTAAATAGCAACTTGTCCTAAGTATTAACATCTGTGAAATCATAAAGCTAATGTGCCAGTTGTATTTGTCTCCTACTATAAATA